GATGTAGTGATATGAATTCCATAGTAACGATTTGTTCATACATTTTTAAAACAGAAAATTTTCAACTCAGCATAAAGAAGAAATTTTAAAAATGAGGGGTTTTCTGGCTTCAGCAGTATCAGTATATTCCTCAAAGAGATACAGAAACTTTCTAATTGAGATTAATCAAGCTGGAGTAGAATATAGATGAACAGTTTATAAAACATATAGTTCAATATTAGATAATAGTCTTTACCATGTCATATTTTGCAGCTGTACATCTTATGTGCACACATGATGCTTTCATAAAAGCATGATCAAAGCACCTGCAAATTACTCAAAACCAAAAACAAATGTAATGAAACTTATCAGTAATTTTTTCTCAGTCACTGAAATCTGAATTTTATCTGGCTTTAGCCCCAAAGTAAAGGGAAGGAGAAAAACAAACAAACAAACAAACAAAAAACACCAAACAAAAAAAAAGAAACGTCAAAAGTCACCTTAATTCTCATGAAATAATTGTAAAAGTAGGCAACTTTCACAATGGTGAAATGGTTTTACAACGTTTCAACTAAATCAATAGAATAACTGTGGCTGACACCCAGCAAAGTCTGTTTTTCTTTCTAGAAGATCCATAATAATAGGTCTTGGAAGTTATGTAAATAAGTATAGGTCGATTGAGACAGTGCTCATTCATGCTACTTATAAAGAAAACATAAACAAACCAACCCCCACCTTGTAATAGAAGAAAATAATATCCTATACTTTATACAGAAGGGTAAACGTGTACAATACCATATCAGCAATAACCTACTGTTACAAATCTTTTGTTTAATGTTACATCCTGGCTTGACATGCTGTGGTATGGAATACTTCTTTGGCTAGCTGGGGTCAGGTGTCCTGTCTCTGCTTCCCCCCAAGCTTGCCTCCTCCCTGGCAGAGCATGAGGCTCACAAAGTCCTTGGCCAAACCAAAACATCATTGTTATTATCTCCGTTCCCAGGCCAAAAGTCAAAACACTGTACTGCACCAGCTACCAAGGAGAAAAATGACTGCTACTCCTGAACCCCTTATTCCGTACCATTCATGTCATGCTCAAATCCCACATTTTTAATATACCATCACTCTTATCTAAGTGCATGGACCAATAGCTATAAAGCTGCTACGTCCATCTGGTCCATGATGCCAGGCTCCATCTCTTGTAACAGTCTTTCAGAGCAGGAGAGACTGCGTGCAGTGTTCACACTTGTGAATAATCTGGGCAATAGTGTCCATTGCTAAGTCCACCCCTCCATCATGATGCCTGAAGTGTCATGGGCCCACCAGGCTCAAAATAATTCACTGTCCCCTTCAGCAGTCTCTGCAACTTGTTGCTGGGGACTCCATACAGCTGCCTTCTATCTCTGACGCCTCCAAAGCACTGGAGGGGCCCAGTGGACAAGATATTTGCCCATACTGTCCCACACACCCTGCCACTCATGACTGCCCAGCCTTGGGGAAAATCTCCTGGTCCTCCTATATCGTCATCTAACCCCAGACAAGACCCAAACCCGGCTCTGCTTAACTTTTGAGATCAGACAAAATGGTTGTGGGTAGAACACAGCCTGTGTGTGTGCCAACATGCTGATCCCCATCACAATCATCAGGCAGGTCCCAAGGATACCCAAAGGCCATTCAAAACCTTCAGAACTCTCAAACGATGCTGCTGTACTTGTCACTGGGGCTGGTGTAGCCGCTGTGCTTGCCGGCTCTGCCACCGCCAGCTTCTCTTTTCCTGAGTCCAGCTCTTCCTCCTCTGCCTTGCTGGGAAATGCTGCGTGGTCTCCTGCATCCTCCTGGGGCTCGGCGGGCGGCTTCCGGTGGATGCTCCTGGCCGTCGCGGGGCTGGGCTCGGCCGCGGGGCTCGGCTCCTCTGCGGAGCTCGGCTCCTCCGCGGGGCTCGGCTCCTCCACCGCCTTCTTCTGCTGCTCGGCAGCCGCCTCCTTCCTCTTCTCGATCTCCCCGACCTCCTCCACCGGCAGCCGTCCCCTCGCGGCCTCCGGCCCCGCTCCCGCCGCCGTTTGGTCCCCGGGGCTGCTCTCCCTGGCCGGTTCAGCAGCCGCCGGCTCCCGGGGCCGCTCCCCCTCGGCTCCCCGCAGCCTCACGAAGATGGAGAGTAGGGTGAGGGCCAGGGCGGTGAAGAGCAGCCGGACGGCCAGGTACAAGTCCACGGCCACGTCCGTCCCGCCCTACTGCTGAAGCCCGCCCGTATTACACGTCATGGCCATAAAGCACAGTGAGACAAGAACCTTAGCCCAAGCCCCACACTTGATAAACACTATCACAGCAAATACCGGCTCTAAGTAAGTTACAAGAGTCTGAAGCTGTGAGATCAAGAGGAACAACTCTGAGAGCCAATAAATCAGAATTGTGACAAATGACTATTAATCCAGTCAGATCTGTCGTTATCTCAACCCTTGGAGCCCCACGTTGGGTGCCAAAAAGAACTGTCGTGGTTTAAAACCAGCCAGGCAACTCATTCACTCACTCCCCCCTTCTTTCCCTCCCCCTACTCCTGGAGGGATGGAGAGGAGAATCAAAAAGAATGCAACTCCCACGGGTTGAGATAAAAACAGTTTAGTAGCTACGGTATAACACAAATCACTAATGCTACCACCAATAATAACAATGACAAAGGATATAACAAGGGAAGAGAATACAACACCTCACCACCAGCCGACCAGTAATTCACCCCACCCCACCAGATCAAGCACCCACTGATACCTCCTCCAACCCTGCAGACTCCCAGCCCTTCCGGCTAACTCCCAGTTACATCCCAGGCATGACGTGCTGTGGTATGGAATACCTCTTTGGCTAGCTGGGGTCAGGTGTCCTGTCTCTGCTTCCCCGCTGGCTTCCCCTCCTCCCTGGCAGAGCATGAGGCTCACAAAGTCCTTGGCCAAACCAAAACATCATTGTTAGCAGCTCTGTTCCCAGGCCGAAAGTCAAAACACTGCACTGCACCAGCTACCAAGAAGGGGAAAAATGACTGCTACTGCTGAACCCAGGACAACATTTTATCTAAGCACTAAAATTTTGTTTTCTTTTTAAAAAAAAAACATAATGATTCTGCCAATGAAATGGAATCTCAGTTGAGGGTGGTTGGATATAGCTAGAAAAGTAAAAGTAGGTCCCCCAGAGGAGTGAGGGCCAGTGTCTCCTCTAAACTACAGCAAATGTTGTGATGAAATTCCAGGTGCTATGGTTGATGCATAGTACTTAAATGGAGCTGATCTTAGAAACTGATATCCCAGCATGAGAACAGTAGAGCTCTTTCATCAAATACTGATCTTATGATCAGGGAACGGAACTTGGATTTCAGAGTTTGCAAAAGGACAACCCATGACTCCACATAATCAAACTACCTTCAAATCATTTTTATCCTTGCTCATTAGAGAAGAGAAGGTGATATGTGTTCTTTTTGCATAACATCTCTAATTTTCTTCATGGTACCTGACATGAACCACATTAGCATCACACTAATTACATTATAGTTCACGTTGTCTTCCTCTAACTCAATTTCTCAGGATTAACACACCTCTAAAGAAGAGTAATTTTCCCATTTTCCTTCCTCTTATCTAACCAAAACCTTTATTAAATGAGCTTCCTGGAGAATTAAAGACTGTGTTTTGTAATAGTTTAAATTATTTTTCCCTGAAGAAAAAAAATTCAAGAGTAATTCTTGAAAAGAAAGAACTTACGCCCCAAACCTAAAAAAAATTCAGAATTGTCATTAAGCAAAAAAAAAAAAGTACAAGTATTTGTTCCACCATTATTTTCATGCACTGACAATTCTTGCATTTTGTCAAATAATGTTTAGCCTTTATCAGTACAACTTCTAAGCCCTAGTATCACACTTTCTTTCACTCTTTTCAGGAAGTGAAACTATTAACCTTTCCTTTTCCTTTAGAGACACTAGTAAGGTGTGTGGTAGCTCAAACTCACACTTTATAAGCAGGAGTAAGAGAGGTGAACTTTATACAAATCTTCAGAAAACTAAATTAAATCAAGACTATCAGGTATTAATCTCCTACAGGCTGCCCTCAGGAAGGGAAACACAAAACAAAACAAAACCCAACCACAAAAAAAACAAAGAAAGAAACAAAAAAACAACAAATGCCAAAACACACACACACACAAAAAAAAAAAAAAAAGAAACAAGGGGGAAAAAAAGTGAACAAGAAACAAGAGAGGAAAAAAAATTGTCCAAAACTTGTCAATAGGAAGGAGCATGTATTTTGACCCTGACGGAAAAATTCCATTCCCTACTAGCAGTGTTTTGACTGTAAATTAAGCCTGGCAAATGTCAGCGTACAATTATGTCAAATGATGTTTCAGATGACCCAAGCAATGTCCTTAGTCTCCTGCAACAACATATGAAATAATATACTATGCCACGATACACTGAAAATATTAAAAATGCTCAAGCAATTAATAGCCTGAAAGCAAATTTTACTTAGCTTTGTGATATTTTGATTTTTTTTTTTAAAGAACAATAGAACAAATAAACACCTTGCCAAATATTTGTTGTCAAAACAACAGAGTTCTGTTTTGGCTCAGCCTCGTAGCTCTCACAAGGCAACTTAGGAGATGCCATCTCTTGCAGGGCAGCAGATGAAATCAGCTGTTGAGCACAGAGGGAGCACAATTTACTCTAAACATTTCTATCAGTCTCAGCAAAAACTTTGTTTCATAAACAGTAAAAAAAAAAAAAAACAAACAAAAAATTTACATGATGAATGCTTTCCTTCCTCAAGACATTAAACCATTTTTTTGTGCAGGCGTTGCAGAAACTGTAAACTGAATTATGGAACAATTTTCCATGTCTTTAATATGATAACGATAAAGGAACTCTCACAGAGTCCACAAAGCTGCAACAAAGGACCTAATAACAGCCACTGTATAATTGACAAACAAGAAAAGTGGTCTGGATGGAGAGGGAAAAAAAGGATAAGCACTTACGTCTGTTTATTTCCTCTTACCGCAGTGGTAGGGCAGATCATTTTGTTTTTTTCATTTTTTTTCTCCCGAGGTAAGGAGATGTCTGTCAAAGAAAATCATCAGAAAAGAAGTCAGAAAACTATTCAAAACTGAACACAAAAAGTCGAAAAATATTACCAAAAGCAGTACAATGTAATAAAGATTTTCACTCTACCTCTAATCTCTCCTGGGAAGGCACAGCAACAGGCACAGAAAGTAAACTATGTAAAAAGGAAAAAGAAAAAACAAAACAGGAAGACAGCGTATAATTTTAGGTCCATCTTGATTTTAAAATGTCATTGCTTTCATTTCAGGGTAGGTCTAAATTTATGGAACCCCCTGTTAAGAATTCAGAAATTATTTTTTTATTAAGATGTTTATAATATGTACATTTTGCTATTTGCCAAATGTAAAATGTGTTGCTCAAGCCGGTAAGTATTTATGTATTAAGAAAAAATTATGTGCATGAATAACACTGTTGACTGAAAATAGTAGATGGGGATTTAGTGAAACATTTTCTGGCGAAAAAATAAAAAGAAAAAACACACAAAAACACAAACAAAACAAACAAAAACCACAAAACAAAACAAAAAAAGAAAAACCCACAATGCTTTGTATGAGAAAGAAAGGTGACTGCAGCGAGAAAGAAAACTAAAAAATCTCAGTGCTTTCCTTCATACTCTTTTTTAACACTATTTCTTATTTTGAGATTTTAATTATAATTGAATGACATACTATTATATTTTTATATAATTATTAAATATATTTAATATTAATATATTAAATATATTTAAAATATTTAATAATATACTATTATTTCATATTAAAACTATAATTATAATTATACCTTTTTCTTGTAGAATTAGAAACAAATACCAATATTTAATGTTTATGATCATCAAATACAGTCTGGATCTCACCGGTCCCTGAAGCTCTTTTGCTATGCTCTGTGAAGACTCTAAAATCCACTGAGAGTAGCTGGCATTATAGCATAAGCTGTTCTGGATTTGTTCCAGATTGTCATCATTTGGCGACCTTACAGTATATGCCAAAGCATTTCTGCTGAAACAGTTAAGAAGGACAAACATCCACCTACAGATTAACGATAAACTGCATGTATATAGTATTTCTGAAGAAGATAGGATGCATTAAAATAAGAAAATATTCAGACATCCAGATGTTAAAGAGAATTATACTCTACCGGAGTTGGTTAAGAAAAGAAGACAGAGGCAGGGGTGTTTTTCCTCCAGATTGTCTCTGGTAGTACTGGTAATTCACTAGCAATACTGCAGTGACTTCACAGTCCACTGACTGCATGGCTGTCTTGGAAAGTCTTAGCCTTATGGACACATGCAACCACCTACTTCAAAATTTAAATCAAATACCAGCATGTCTGGATTCAGTAAAGTGGGAAGTAGAGAGCAAACACATTCAGAGTGTTCCTACAAAAGAGGAAAAAATGATTAGTAAGGAAAAAATATATGGGAGATATCATGGACAAGAGAAGGAATGAAAACAGATGAGAAAGAGAAAAAGATATTTTTTACCTGAGACTGACAAGAAGACAGAAATGCTACAGAAGGCACGTGGGCATCACAGGCTGGTGCAGAGGTATTTGCTGTTCTGACAGATCAGAAATAGAAATAACTCACCAGTCTGAGATTGTGGGATTCTTACATAAAAGCTCAGTTTTAAAGTTGTTTCCTGTAAAATTTAAGAACAAAGGGGGAAAGTTAGTAATACAAAAATACACTGTGTTGGGTCAGTTTTCTCCAATTCCCATATTTTTATATTTTTATTAATATTCCTTTTAAAGAAAATTATTTAAAAATACTAAACTTGAAATATATTTTCTTCTGCCAACGCTTCACCACACTTGAGACATGAGGAGGGGATCAAAATGGGCTGTGACTGTGCCACATCCACCTGACCAAAAATCTCCCTGTTGTGACAATGTCTTTACCCAGCTGGCAGACCTTAGATCAGCTCCTGGCCTTCATTCTCTTGTCCCAGAACAGAGCAGAAATCCTTTCAGAAGAGGGAGCTTCTGCTGTTAGGACTGTAATTAGCAAACTGAACCTCTGTGTTTAAAACCATCTACTGAAATAATCGGTCGAAACCTTGCTGTTCCCTTATGAAAAAAAAATTAAAAAAGTAAAAAAAATTCATTATTAACTTTCTTCCTCTCCTCCAGGTAATGTAAAAGCCTTCCTCCCTACTAGTTGTGTCTTTTGAACATTTTTGTCTTAATAATTGGCTAATTAGAGATATTTTCGTGTTTCATTTCAACACATTTAGTGTACTTCTGTGATTATGATGTGTTCACATGCATTAACAGGGGAGCAGGTGGATCACATCAGTTTCTGCCAGCTCAGTGGCTATGAATATTCCACTCCCTGGATTTATTTCACTTATTAATCTGATTCTGCATTCATGTTTCAGGTCTAACATACTGCTGTGATGTCAGATGTTAACATTTGTGTTTGTTTCCAAACACAAAAACAGCCTCTATTATTTGGCCATTTTTCAGCTTTTATTGACATTCAGAATAGTCTTATTCTTCCCTTTATAAAAGTCCTTCTTTCATTTCTATCATTTTTGTGGATATTTTACATAATCAAATGCCAATAATTTTCCAATACAGTAATATTGCATATTTCAATGACATCAAGCTATAGCAGTTTGGGGAAAGCAATCCCTGTCTATCTTCATATAGAAGAACCAGAATCACCACCTATTTTTGAGCACTACTCTGGGACTTCAGAAGGGAACAGTTATTCACAGCACTAGTGGTGAAACTGGAGAGATCTCCACCAGCTACAGAAGGTTTATTTATAACGCCATCATCGCAATCATTTTCTATAACCGGCTAAGTAATAAACTTCCTTTTAGTTACTGGGTTTGGGGTCAAAATCTGAAGCATTTTTAATTTGTGTTGTAGCTAACTGCCCTGGCCTCCACCTCAGAAGCTTACAAAAGACGTATCAAAGAAAATACTGTCAGACATTTCCACACCTTGTCCCAGTGGAAGTTTTCTTTGTCCTTCAGGTAACGCTCTAACCTTGAAGTCAGAGCAGTTCTGAGATTTATTTGGAAGTTCAGAGCAGCCTTGTAATCAAGGTGCCTTGTTACCACATCTGAACTGGAGCACTTGGGATCTGGGTTCCTGAGGGCAGCCATGGAGATATTAGTTCATAGCGTTCAGGGGTGGTCTATTTTTCCCTTCCTTAACTCGTATGCTGCAATTTTCTGTTCTTGGTTTCTCAAGCTAATTTTTGTTGGTGTGCAATTCAACTGTGAAGACACATGTTGTGCTTCAAACAGGTCTGAAACTCTGTTTAAATTGTACTTAGGTCACGTTTTTCCTAATTAAAACGTTTAACCACTTAAATTAAATGGTGGGTTAGAGATTTCAATTTTCTGTATGTCATTCATTCATGAAAGTGTGGTTTATAAATTTGCTTACAAGCATGTGCAAAAGGCTCTGTCCTTTCAGACTTTGTTACCATGGCTCAATTTATTTATGCACTTTGAAACAGAGGACAGTACATGCTTAAGGCTTCATTTAAAAAGCCCTGTTCTGAAGGATTAAGCCTTTTAAAGTTTTATTGGTGCCTATGCTTTATATTAATTGTGTGGTATGCCTCCAGGTATTTTCACAAAGGGCATTTTAGAAAGGTAAATTCAGCTGATGGATGAATTTCTCTGCAGAGGTTTATTAACATTTTTGTCAATTTAGCCCATTAAATACAGCAACATCCCTAGGTGGTGATGAATTGCAATAGCAGCACAGGCTTCACACAACGATGGCAAACTGATTCCAATAATTTTCCCAGTAGTATCCTCATAGCACAAGTGAAATGCTGATGTTTACAAGTATGGCTAAGTAAGTAAAAAGTACATAGATTAAAAAAAAACAAAACCTTTTTTAAAGCAAACTCACCTTATTATGTGCTCAAACTTCAGCATAGTCTAAGGCGCGGAATTAAGAGTATTAACAGCAGTATTTCCCCCACTATGGCAAATACGCCAGAACTTTGTGTAAATATATGCATAACCTGATAAATGAGGCTTATGCATCAGAAACTTGACATCGAAATCTCACTTTCTCTAAAAGAAATGTCATAAAACCTACTGCGCTCCAATGTCCACAAATGCCAGTGAAATAGTTCCTGTTGATTTCTGCAGGCAGTGTAGCAGGTGAAATAGCCTATCAAAAAATAGCTTGAAACTGAATTTTTTTATGAAATATTTATAATGGAAAAAAAAAAGTTTTTAAAAAAGAATACAAAAGCGAACTCATTTTAATATTGTACCTTATCCCAAAAGGAATGATAGAAGTTTCAAAGATTGGGTCATTCTTAGAATGTGAAATATATCTGAAAACACAGTGTAGGAGAGAAAAATTTCGCCCATGATATGGAATGGAGAAGTAAAGTGAACACAGCTTCTCTCCATAATACCACCCGTAATTTGTGCTTATCTACCCATATGCCATTAAAAAACAAATTTTTTTTTGGTACATAATATTTTATCAGGGTTGTAATTGCTATATATCTAACAGGCCTGTATCTGCTTTGCATATTGTTAGCCTCTCAGCAAACTGTGCGCTAAGTTAGTCTTCCAGAAACTGTTTCATATTTCTTTGTTTGCTGTAAAAAACAATGAATAAAGCAGAAACAGGGATGGCTAGTGATAAATGCTATAAAAACCAGAAATGAGAAAGGCTGCTAAAAACTGAAACAACTTCAATACTCACTTCTCTTCCTGAATGTATGAGTGTACCCCTGCTCAGATTGCGATTTTTCCTTGATTTGGTATTTTCCCTAATGCCACTACAGAACCAAAACAAAGGCAGTTTATATTTCTAATTGCAAATAGGGTTTATCAGAAGTGGGGAAAAAAATCCGCTTTCAGTTTCTAAACATAGAAGATTTTATCAAAACTTTTCTTTTTTTTTCCCCCTTGAGAATAGTATGAGTCATGGAAGTATGCACCTCTCCATTCCTTCAGAAAGGAATAATTTCATTCCAGGCAGAATCTTAGCCATAGTACAATACAGTTCTCAGTGCACTGAGCTCTCAAATAAACAAGTGCTCATTTATATGCATCTTTATCTTTTCTTTTTTTTTTTTTTGCTGGTTACAAAGTAAATATTAGTTACTCAAAAGTAATTGCTAGGGTTTTCCATTATCAGTTCAGAACTATCACCAATAGAGGATAACCAAGCCATGGCTCACATTTAAAAGAATATTTCTCTTTAGATGACTCTTCAAGATTAAAAGTCCATAGTTTCATCAAAATACCTTCTTATTTTGTGTCTTAACACTAGTACCACTAAACAAGCTATCAGGGACCAAAAGCATGATTAATTTAGACCATTTTAAAATATTTGAATTTTAAAAAATATTTTAGATCTTGGCTTTTGATAAAATGTTGTTTTCTATGATTCCGTGATTCTAAAACAAAATAGATTAGATGTTCAAGGAAACAGCTC